ACATAGTCACCCTGAACACAAGACCAAGTTGCGACAACGAGGTCAACCCACTTATGTAAGGGGTCTCCGTTTAGGGATGCATACGAATTTATGTGAAGGTGGGCGGGAAGCAGATTGGAAAAGTTTAAATGGCCTTATCAGAGTAATTTTAAGGCCTATCCTTCTGGGTTTTCTAAGGATTCTGGCTTATCGTGAATGGCGCTTAATAATTACACTATATTGTTTTGAAAGTGACCAATGTGGCAAAAATGCATGAGTTGATTTGTCATTGCCAGCCTTCTGTAGGGACCGTGGCTTATGATAACAATGAAGGAAACCGTGCATCACAAGTTAGGCATGCTGAAATTGGCAAGCCATACTATGTTGCTCTGATATAAGATGTAGCAGAGGTCATACCAGCTCCTTGCCAATAACTGAATAGGAGACATAGAGGCCTATTAAAAAGGATATCACGACAAGTGAAAGAAAGGCATACTATTTAAGACCTCTTAAAAATATTAGAGCCAGTAAAGATGTCACACTCGTAAAGTGCAGGTTGAAAAGTCTTGCTTTATTGAATAGGACACATGCGAGTCATTGCCTCAACAAAGTGATTACCAAACTGTGCGCCGCGGCGCCCCGGGGATCAGCGGCCTCTTTACAGGGGCGCCGCGAAATATTGTCAAAGCTTCAATTTAAGAAAATGTGCAGTGATTTGCAGGCTCATCCATCATATTAATTGTTAAATATTAATTTAATGTTAATAGAGTAAAAAAATAATTAAGATACACGAGTTTTATTTAATCTCTTACTTACGAATAGTCATACTTAGAGTAGGGCGCCATAGAAAAAATTTAATTTAAAAAGAGCGCCGCGACTAGGAAAAGTTTGGGAACCGCTGCCTTAAGTGAAAGGAAGCGATATCAGACAAGCAGAGTAGAAAAATACAATTTAGCATTAACACTTATGAAGGTCTGGTTTTATGTTAGATTACTTCAGCTCATGATGAACGGTTGAATACACTATTTCGGTTAGCTCAAAGGAATCTGTCACAAAAACATTCACTGATTTCCGATTCTTGATTAATTGAATAGTGCGAATAAAAATTTTGATTATGAAAGAATCTTGAACCTTTGGACAGTTGATTGATGAAAACCTAATTTGGGCCATGCATTTAGTCGCTAGCTATCCCAACATCATGCCAGAGTAGTTTAAGCAGAAGCGTCCCTAGCAATCTAAATACTAAAAGTTAAACATTTAGGCAAGGCATAAGTTAAAAGAGAAATATGAGAGCAATAAAGTAAATGTTTCGCAAATTATATATCGAGGACTGTAAACTGTGCTAGACAAGATAAACTGTATAAGTTAAGTAGAGAAGCACAATACGTAGCGAAGAATGGGAGGGAAGTGCAAAAAGAATACGGACAAATTAGCTACGTCTAATTTTCACTCCTAACTCTCGAAGTTGTTTAACGAACTTAGTCATGAAAACAAGGTAATAATCTATCGAACGAAGCTCGTCAGCTTAGCCAGACGGATCTCGCTTATTGAATGTCGTAATGCTATCCGGTGGTTATGATTTACTTTTATCTACTAGAGCTATCAATGCCAGATTCGCGAACATATTTTATCCCCTAATATATCTGAATAAAGCGTACATAGAAAGATAGGCTTATTACTAGTTCTGATTTGGTGCTAGCTTGATACTGTTAAAGGGACTTTCATTTCGTATGAAAGTGAATGAAGAAGGGATTCGTCGGTCGATCTCGCCAGATCAGGACGGATGAATCTCGTTATACTGCAGCCGTTTGGCTTTTATACGATATTCATGTTGGCACAGTCCACGAGAC